ACTGGACTCAGCGTTTATGCAGAACACCGGTAACTATACGTACCACAGCTTTAAGATTAAAATACTGCGAATTGTGCCCTCACACAGTGTATCTGTGTGCTCCGTGTGGCTCTCACAGCAAACAGCATTAACCGGCTTGGCTTTGTAGCCGTGACGTAACGAGTTTCCTGAGTGGCACGGACCTGATTTTTATATATCTGGACACGAGAGAAGGGTACAACTGTGCTACCCTGTCCATGGGCGATATATGTAATTAGGGGGACCTGGCCCTCCGGGATGGACGAGCTTCGAATCTGAAACATTAGAATATGGTCATGAGTCCTGTGGGACTCGGACCCGAGAACGACTGCGCTGGCGAGGGCCGTAACTTTGAGAAAGGTCTGAAGGCTCCCAGAACCGTCACGCGTCCCATGGGGCTCGGAACCAAGAATCATTGTGCTGGCGAGGACCGGCAGCAATTTAGCAGTTAGTCTGGCCAATTTCAGATCGTCGAACAGCTGTGATCTTTGACATTCTGCATCCTTGGTTGATGAAAATGATGCTCTGTGCCGATGCAGAACTGATCAACAACATTTATTACTCTGTACGGAGGCTTCATTTACCAGACTACCTAGTTAAGATCCTGCACATATGAAGCTGTACTGCCTTGCCATCTATTAGTGACATTAATAAACTTCCCTAAGTACCGAGTCCGTTGGCTCATGCGGTAACGTTTCTACCTTGCATGTGGTAGGTGCTTCATTCGAATGGCCTAATAGAGAGGCATTATTTATCTCAGTAATTATATGGAGGTACTGAGAAAAAAATCAGGTAAGAGACGTTTCAATGTCCACAGCTTCTCTTTAAATATATCATGGAAGTTGTCCACTGACTGTCTCAGTTCTGTATAAAATACACGACGTTTCGGGTGATACCGATAAAATCGAACTACAAGACTAGCAGACCGAACTCTTCGAGGTTCACTACTGTAAGAACCTTGAATCCAACAAAATCGGACAAATATGCAGAACATCCTACGAATCTAAAAACAAAATAATAATAAGAAGAAGAACAAAATACTCCCCCAATAAGCCTACAACAAAGAAAACGAAACAATGCATGTGGTGTGAGAGTACTGAGTGGCTTCAACTGGCTCAGGACAGGGAGCAGAAGCTTTGCTGATTCTTGTGAGGGCAGTAACGAGCACACAGCGCTCGCTGCGCTGAACACTGTGTTCTCAAAGGCTTGCAATCTAGGGAAAACGCTTCCTGAGCACCGAGTGGCGCTACACTCAACAGCGAAGCGCCCAAATTAGTGCATAGCGCTGGAAACAAGTTTCGTCCGACCGAGATGGAATACTTCCCGGATTTAAAGTTCTGTCCTGCGCCATAAGAATTACTGCTCTCGGACATTTCAACTGCACAGTGTGCAAAAAGCGACCTTATGAGGTGGCCTAAAAGGTCAGCCTAAAGGTGGAAATGAATAGGCTAAGCCGGTTCGATCCTCGGTTTGGATAGTGTACTTTGAGAAGGAGGGGGTGTCCGGACCTGGGAGGGGGGAAATGATGGGGGTGGGGTGGAGCAAGAGAACTGCTTAGTAACGAGATTCAGAGTTCTGCACTCCTAACCAAAAGGTGTGAACAACAAATCAAGGAGAATGAGATTGGTCGGACACGTTAAACGCGTGGGGGCCGAGAACCCTGAAGGTAAGAGACCAGTTCAATATACGTAAGTAGACGAGGGTATGAGGACGTGGAATGGATTCAACCGGCTGGAGACAGGACCAACAAAAGGGGTCTTGTGACGACGGTAATGAAACTCCGGGTTCCACAAAATTCACACACTTTCTCGACTAATTCAGCGACCAAAGTAGTTGATATACTGTTGCAAAAATAAGGAAAAATGGTGAACATAACCCTTGTCAAGTGCACAGCCGACTGAGCCCGCGAGAACGAACGAGACAGTCCGCCCCACGCAATTATCCCCAGGTTCGTGAAGATTAGCCAGCTCAGCACTGGGCACGACACAAGAACGATTTATCACATCGTGGTGCAGTCTGACGGGGCACCTGCACGCGGATGTTCTGACAGGACGAGAAAGGCAAGGCAGTACCTCCTGCAGACACCTGCCTTACTGACCTTCACATTACACGCTCTTTGAAATATCGCAGAGAGAGAGAGAGAGAGAGAGAGAACGGTAAAATCGCACTGCGTTTAGGGGAGGATTCTTCCCCCCCTCCCAAAAAAAAAGTAGCTGCAGTATCAGAGAGGGAAGTTTGCAGACTTCATCCCTGTACAACTTCAACTCAAACAGGGAACTGTGTAATTAAGAGTTCCTCCTGTAGGCACTACTACGGGACTGGTGACGTCCCGATCGCCCTGATACATTCACTTCAGAAAACAAACACTAACTGTTCAGGCGATGTGGGAAGAGAATGGCGAACAATACAAAACACTGGAAATTTGTGGACTGGACGTGAAGTGAGACGTAGCTCCTCCGGAAATCTGGCCTCTGCTGGCCACCTGTTGGTCCGTCCAGCCCCGGCCAATTTAAGCTGGTGGCCAAACTGCGGACAACAATAGTGTTAAAATGTGTCATTGTTTGCGTTCATAGTGGCCTACAATTGCCAACTCCATACTATCTACTGTTAAAATCATACATCTCAGAAAGGTATTGTCAAGTAAAATACAACAACGCCTATTCTAGCTACAAACTAGCAAAATCCGGAGTACCACAAGGGAGTGTGCTTGGGCCTTTGTTATATCTAATATACACTGCAGATTTGTCAACAACCAACAACACCACAATAGCAACCTTTGCAGACGATACTGCTCTCCTAGCAACAGACCGTGACCCGGCACTGGCATCGCAATTTCTTCAACACCATCTGGACCTGCTACAAGAATGGTTCAAAAAATGGAAAATCAGGATGAACCAAACAAAATCTTCGCAGATAACATTCACAACAAAGCGCACACACTGCCCACCACTCACAATCGATAATTTACAAATCCCAGTACAGACAGAAGTAAAATACCTCGGCCTATACCTAGACCAGAAGCTAACTTGGCAGAAGCACATCAAGACAAAACGCCAACATCTAAACCTAAAAGTACGACAAATGTCATGGCTCTTAGGACGAAAATCCAAACTCAGCCTAGAAAACAAGACTTTAATTTACAAATGTATATTGAAACCGATTTGGACGTACGGAGTTCAACTGTGGGGGTGTGCTAAGCCTTCGAACACCAAAATAATTCAAAGACTCCAATCAAATGTACTGCGCTCCATAACCAACGCCCCATGGTATGTCTCGAACTTCACATTATACAATGATCTTCAAATCCCATTCGTCACAGAAGAAATCAAAAGATACTCTACCACATACCATAACCGACTAATGGGACACGAAAACAGTTGCGTAACTGAACTAAGCAACCCATTAAACATCAGACGAAGACTAAAACGACAATGGCCCTCAGACTTAAAAGGACACACTGTTGAAGATGGGTAGCCGTACTCAACACACATAATGCATAGTACGCTACATAGGAGAATCATCACTGGATGATCACTCCGCACAAGTGATTTCTTACAACATATTGACTTATTGCTCCATTGTAGAGTAGATTGTAAATTGCAAGAAATAAAAAAAAATAGTGGCCTACATACTTAATTACTGTTCTGTGTTATTCCTGCCGTCAAGCTTTCATAGACTTCTTCATTGTGCTCGTGACTCCGTGAATACTGGGCAGATTGCATCAGTTAGGAGAAGACAGGTTAGAGAGAGGTGGCCAACCTTGCTGCATATCACGTGTGCCCACAAGCACCTCACCCTCCGGACAGCCGTTAACTGCCACCGACTCACGTCTACCAGTTAAAACACAAGCGAATACAATCACCGCGGTGACTGGTGGCGACCCAGGGGAGCCGTGAAATGCGTTCCCCTTCGGCAGGATAAATGCAGCCAACAAATTGATTGCTCGCCGGGCGTCGCACCTGCGTCCCTCGGCGTGTGTCCGGCTCTGAGCTTGTGATCTAATGCAGTCCGGACCATTATCAGAGCGCATGGGAGGGATGGCGGACAGGCACGTGCGCGCGCCCGTACACACACACACACACACACACACTGCCAGGGGCCCATTCGTTTCTGGGCGCATTTAAATACATAGAAACGTAACTCGTAACGGACAGCAAAGCGCTTTAAGCATTTAAAGCCCGGTTCAACATTCAGAAGCACTGGACACTCAGATGAGCTTCACTCCGAAGCAGTTCTTCCAACGTAACGCAGTCAAGCTCCAGCGCCTGTAACCTGGCCCCACCTCCCAGTGCTTTACCCTGTCTCCAAGGGGACGACCGGGTAAAGCAAGGCAACTTCTTACGTCTTTCTTCAGGCTGGGCCATGGCAGTTCACGTCAAGCTCCAGCGAGATGCGATTCACACAGTCCAAATCCTTGGGAACCGCGCGCGGTGCCACGCCTCACCTACCGACTCCACGCTCGACAGCACAGTGAGATAGGCATGTAGTATAGATGAACCAGTTTCGGCAGGATATGTGAGTCAGTACACAGTCTACATGCGTGCTTTTGTGAACACGGTGATGAACCGCCGGGTTTCGTACGTAGCAGAGTATTTCTTGACCAGCTGAGTGATTGTTGGTGTACAGCCAATCGTGTCTTGGGGAGACTTGAAAGAGCCACGAAGGACAGCAAGTCCCACAGGCTCTCCCGAAACGCCAACGAGCTGTGCTATCTTCTGGGATATAAGTCCAACGTAAGTTCAACGACGTTTCGGCCAAACCTGATACCTGCATCTCGAGGTGAGGAGTTTCGACACATGCCAGAAGGCAACAATCTTCGCACAGAACTGGGCGCAGGAGGTGTTATGGTGTGTCCCTACATCTAAGCACCATGCCACAAAAGCTCAGCGGCATACGGCAATGCGACAGCAGACGCCTCGCGCCAGCACCGGCAGGCACGACGATCCCTGCGCCGCGTCGGACCCGCAGTCAGCTCCGCGACGCGGCCGGGGACGAGTGTGCCGGGGTCTCCTTACACAGAGGTGAGTGGGGGACGGGGGGGGGCAAGACTGAGGGGCCTCCCCTCCCACAAAATGTTTACGATTCCGTTAGGAGCCGCTAAATGTAGTTAATACTGTAAGGACCGATATTATACATGTGTACATTATGTATAACGCAGAATACCCGTTCTTGGCTCGGGACGTATTCCTCTGGCAGGTCAATATCACACACAGTGTGCAGTGGCCGGCTTCAACAGCTGTGGGGGCCGTACATATTGGTTAAGAATACCGAGTAAATTCCACAGTAGCTTTGGGTTTCTATCTCCATCAGGTCCGCCGCGGTAGGAGGCAGGGATCCGACAGGAAAGTTACATCTGTGTGTCCGCTGTGGGCAGCGCGAGCTGAATTCCAGGAATTGGTTCTCACAGCCTTTCATCACGATATTTGCTGATCTAGAAAGTTCCGAGAAGACAGACACGTACGTATCTTCCAACGTGCTGACATTCCATCCAGTAAGTACACCGCAGGCCTGCATACATTACAAGCGAATTATTATTGATCTGTCGTTCACTTAACGACGCTACCGGTAGCTAGACTGTATGGCGTCAAATGCCAGGAATTCTAAAGCATGTGCAGAGAAAGGTCTAACGAGAGGCACTGTCCCTAGTATGTCTGCAGGGAGTGACAAAACTCACAAGAAAAATCAGAATGGCCGGGGATATCCGGTCCGAGATCACCCAACAGAATGACTGTTGAATTGCTGCTGGCCCTCGTCAGCACAGTTATTCTTTGTTCTCAGTCCCGCGGGGCTCATGACACATATTTTACCGCCTGACGGCAAGCCCGAAGCATTTATATTACAGGAAGCACATTATGTCTCCATTACAAAGCCCAAACGGTTAATGCTGTTTAGGGAAACAGTCGCTGTTTATTGTGAGAACCATACGGAACACACAGATACACCTTGTGTGTGTGTGTGTGTGTGTGTGTGGGTAGAAGACAGTTTTTAATGTTAAATCACGTGGTACATATCGTTACCACTGTCGTCTGAAGACTGAAAATAATTATGTCGCACGTTAACTTTATTTATTGAAAGTGAGGAAGGAGCGAGCAGCCTCCCGCTTCACGAGCATTTCAGTACTAAACGCTAAAACTGCAATCTCACAAATCCATTACGGCAATGCCCAAGGAAGAGCAATACTTGTTGAGTGACACGACACCACTCTCTGCTCCCACAGGTAACCATGCCGCCTCGCCTGTACACGCTGTGTCTCGAGGTGCTGATTCCGCTGGTGGAGAGAATTGGGGATGGCCAGGACTTCGGACACGGGACAGGTCCTCTAGACAGCGTGGGTAAGATTAATCTCGCACGTTGAACCGACGTCATTAAATATGCCCGGATCAACCAGTACTCGACCTCCTGACAATTCTGTTCCCGACCCTTAAAGGAAACAGAGACCGCGTCCGCGTGTGTCCCTATCATACGAAATTGTACACATTTCCATATTTTCAAAAACTTTAACCTCTTGAATTCCTTGGTCGGTATCAAAACCCGCTACGGGTTGGACGACTGAGGAATCGGGGTTTGATTTCCGGCAGGGGCAAGAGAGAGTTCTCTCATATACAGACAACATCCAGACCAGCTCCGGTGCCCAAAACAGCCTCATATCCAATGGGAACCGGGAGTTATTTTCCCAGGAGTAAAGCTGCCGGAACGTGTAGCTGACCCCTCTCCACCACCTAGCACCCTGCTCTCAAAAACCTTCGGTCTGCGTTCTTCCCTTACGGCGAGACACCCAAACAAAACAACAGTAAGCCCTCGCTAATCCGGTTTAATCCGGATCGAAACATAAGAAATGCTGTTCACAGTGAAGTGCGTACTTTAAAAAGACGTTTAGGAAGGTGAAGGAGTCACTTGTCTGTTCAGACAGAACTTGAGACAGTTCCTTCAAACCTGCACTATTATTGCGTTCAAAAACAAGTACAACTTCTGAGCCTTCTGTCGATGAATAAATGTATTGTCTTTTTATATGTAGTTCTTAAGTAACGGACTCTACAGTTATATTATTTTTATTTGCATCAGCACTATTTATATTATTAAATTTCCCATTTATTTACGTTCTGAGTGTTTTCTTTTAGGGTCACCTTTTATTTCACTGATCCGGATGACCCCCTGCCAAATTAATCTGGATTAGCGAGGGTTAGATTAAGTTTTAGAATCAGCTTCGGAAATATCGTGGTTTGAAAAGAAACTTGGGACGACTGACGGTGTAGACGAAAAGACAATTTGCTTATCCTGTACATGTGGCATATGGGCCGGCCATTTCTGTGTCACGTCCGGGATCCGCAGAGGCGGCCTGAGAAAACACACGGTAAGATTCTGTCAGGACACTTGTCTGCGGTTAGATGCGAACCGAGCACTGACAGAATAAAAGTAGGACGCGTTACCAACATCAGACAAGAAACTATATCACAGTTTCATTAATCCTCAAAATCACAGTGGCAATTATACGTATATACCAGTCGCCGTAACATTAAGAAACCCCACCATTCTGCCCATGCAGGGTGTATCTGTGTGCTGGGTATCGTTCTCACAACAAACAGCGACTGTTTCCCCAAACGGCATTAACCGGTTGAGCTTTATAGCGGAGACGTGATGTGTTTTCTGTGAGTTGGAAATGGATTTCCCTCGGGCTTCATGTTGCCCGTCCTTTGTGTTTCAGCCGGGGCACTAACCGACGACCTCCTGCTGAGAGCGTACCACAGAGCGTCCCGGTGCCGATCGGCTGGATGCTGGAAGGACGCCTGGAAGACGCTCCTGACGCCCAAGTCACAGAGCGTCGTGCTGAGCTGGGACCGCAGTCTCCTGCAGTTCGTGAAGACCAGATGCCAGGTGCGTAGTCACCAGATAGTGACTCAGGTCGTCATGTCATCGTACCTAGACGAGACTTTTTGTTCCGCTAGGTTGGCTACCCAAGGCGTGACAGACAGTACTGCTCATGTCACCGTCAGTCTAACACGACGTTTCGCGGTGCAGCCATTTTCCTCCGAATATATGTGGCAACTGAGGTTCTTACAGTGGTGAGTACTTACGTTCTGGGATGTGACGCCGTGTAGTTTGGTAGACAGTCACCAATGTTTCCAATGAATCCGCCCATCTACCATGAGCATGGACGTGGTAGGATCAGTCGAAACCTCAGGGCGTCACATACCAGATCATACATGACACCGACATCTCACAACAGTGAGGGAGGGGTGGGGGCGCTGTTTTGTTGCAGAATACGAAGAAGGTGCTGGTGTCGCGCTGGGACAGCTTCGAACCCGAGTCCCTGTCCTGGCTGCCCTCGACAGTCACTTGTCTCGACTTTGACGGTGAGCTCTTCTACAGAGGTCGTCTGGGTCCCGCCCTGGACTTCCCGTCCGATGCAGGACAGAGGGGATGGCTGCCGGAAGCAGAAGCTATGTTAAAGTGAGAGCCCTTGCGTGTACACTATGTCTGTTTTAGGATGACCACGAACACCCTGCCTAGGTGCGCAGAAACGTTCACTTGCACTTTTGTGGTCAGGGAGGTCATAGTATGAGATACACTTCGCTGATACGTATAAATATCGCATGAAATAACTTGCTCCAGACACTCCCGTCAGCAGTAGCTTACCTCTAATGCGCATTGAGAGACATCTACCCAAATTAGTTGGGCTATACCAACTTACGAACATACCTGCAAAACAACATCAGCTGACGGTTATCATAACTTTTCAAAATATAATTTCCAATTTCGTCACCAGCCGAAGACGTTTCTCCTACAAGACGTGAACATGTCTGTCTCCAGGGCGCTCCATGCTGCGCGCCAGAAGCAGCCCGGCGCCGCCTCCACGGGCCTCACAGAACTGCACCTGGGCGCCGTGCAAGTCACCGCGACAGACATATGCACCATCCTAAGGAGAGTCCCGACGCTGCAAATGCTGCGACACTACCAGCTCGTCACGGCGCTCAACCTGCTACACGGAGAGCAATGGCGACACAAAGAGCCTTTGCCCAAGTACCGACTTCGAAACCTAGACGTGGACTTCTCTCACGTTGTACGTTTACTATCAAACACGGGTATACCTGCTGGGCGCCAGGTTCCTGCGAACTCCTAAATTCAAAGAATATTAGTCGAAAAGACATCAGACGTTCACTGATGGCTTGTTCGTTGATGGAATTTGGGATGGACAATCCCCTTAACCTGATCGCGGTTCCTGGTGGTCTTCCCATTTCTTCGAAGCAAATACTGTGAAATTGCCTTAGATCAGATCATGGCCGCTCCATTCCAAATGATTTTCAGGAATCATCCTACATCTCTAATGACAGCGTCATTGTAGGAGGATGGAGGGCCAGGCTGGTCTCTCTTCTCTTACTGCCTCCCATTCTACGCCCCCGTTTGTTGAATCTCCTTCGTCGTGCCCACAGGTTCGATGTAGGATGTCGCCACAAGCAGTACTGCCCCCGGACGTCCTGCAGCTCGCCGTGCTGCTGTGTCCTGAGGCTTGCCTGCTTCACGTCCGGTTCGACTGCTCCACGTCCCACGACGTGCTCTCGCCCCTGACCTGTATGCAGCACGCCTTGCGATTGCTGAGTGTCGTGTGCGTCACGAGTGGCGAACGCAGTCGCCTCACCTTCGACGACGTGGCCCCGATCTTGGAGCAGCACGGCGCAGATGCCCTGCGGTCCCTCGAGCTCAAGGTGTCGGCTGCTGTTGTGTCCCCCTTTCCAAAGCGAGAAGCACTACACGGATTTTCATTAAATTTAATTCGTACGTCATACCCCTGGAGACCGTACGAAATTCGCGATTTTCAGTCTCTTGCGGAACGGGGCGGGGGATAAACTTGTGAGACACGGGTGACACTAGCGCCACTGCCTGGCAGTCGTAAGCATGCAAACTGAACGTCACCGTACGCAACATTAATTAGTCACGTAATCACCGAACAGTTGGCCTGTTCATCTACATACAGCATTACAACAAGCAGTGGAAACTTTAAATCCAAGGACGCAGAGGAGGGGGGGGGCAAGGAGATGCAACACTTGTTGCGGGCGGACCCGCCTCATTACGGTAGTCTGCAGACAGGGTAAAGCGGTGGGAAGTTCCATACTGAAGTTAGAGCAGCGGATGGCTTTGTAGCTCCTCAACAGGAAACACAAACACTGCGAGAAATAATCACTGAATATTGCGAAAACGGATCTGGACACACAGATCCACTGTGCGGGTTCCTAGCTCTCAGAAAACACATCACACCTTCGTTATTTGTGAAGTGAGCGACACGAAGAGTTACTGAGAGTCAGGTAGTCAACAACACTGTGCATACAGACGCGTTGTATTGTGCTGACTGTAATCTCGCCGACATGTTCATGTTTCTCCTCCGCCCCCATCCGCCATCCCTGTGTCCCTTGCGCCAAGGCACTCAAACTGCAGCCCTGGGGCCACTCGGACACACGCGTGGCTGTGTCGCTAACAAACAGGTGGGCCGGAGTTCATACCTCGGGCACGCTCGCGCCCATACACTGTTGCACTCCCTAACTTATCTTTCGGTAGGCAAAACGTTCGCCTAAATAACTTACAGAAGAAAGCCAGTTCCTATGTCACATAAAACACTGCGTCTCTGATACAAGGACCAACCAGTTAATAAGGAGATTATGGCTCTTTATTGTGAGAATCGTATAGATACACTATGTAGGGCGGGGGGGGGATTGATATGGTACATATAGTTACCGCTCTGCTGTGAAGATGACAACCTACTTCAGTTGCCGCCTCCTATAGTACCTGGTGGCTATTAGTTTGCTACACACAAACGTATTATGGCTGTAAAACCTTAATTTGAAAGCGGAAAGATAATATTAAGACGGATTCTAGAGTAGATCTGTGTGTTTAGGTTATTGAGGAAGTGGACGTCCACGTGATCCTCTCCACGTGCCCGAAGCTGGAGCGCTTGGTTCTGAGCGGATGTGGCAACGTGATGCCCCCCACGTGTCCGGGGTACGACTGCGCGGTCCTCAGGCTCCGGAGGCTACGGTTCCTCTTCTTCGCGGACGGCGACGACTTCAGCTGGGACCATGACGTTCCCCCGTGCTTCTGGCGGGCGACGCTGGCTGCAGGTAGGCAAGGCGCGACGCACCCTGTTCCGTACAGCAGACTGGCTCTGAGCGCGGTAGCATTACTAACAAGCGTATACAAGTGATTTATACCCCGAAGATAGAGAGAAAAGTTCTTTCGAAATGTCTGTAACTAAGGTTGTGTTAGTAGTCAGGGTACAAGTGACTTCTACCCTGAAGACAGAAGCAGTAAGGTCCTCTGGTGACTTTTACCCTGAAAATGGAAAGCAGTTAATTTCTCCGAAACGTGTCACTACACAAGACCAGCCCTAGAGGGGACGCTAGGTTGCCCCCCTGCATTCTCAGTAAGACGTCGCCGGGCCAGAACGCTCGGCGAGGTCTCTTCCTGTCCTGTGTCTTGGCGCCGACGCTACGGACGAGTGGCGCTTCACTTCCATTTCGAACTGTGTTGCAGGACACGGGGGCCGTCTGGAGGGCCTGTTCCTGGAGTCGCCCCGAATAGCGCCGGGCACCGCCCTCAAGCACCTCCCGGGGCTGGAGGTCCTGAGTCTGTGCCGCTGTCCTGAGGTGACGCTGGGCGACGTGGTGACCGTCTGCGGGCTGGATAAGGCGTCGGCACGGCCTCCGCGCTACATCCGCCTGTCGGCCTGCGAGGGAATCGGGCCGCGCGAACAGCGCCGCCTCAGGGCCATGCTCAAGGGGGCCCACCTCGCTGTCAACTGAGTGGTAACTATGTGTACCAACGCAGTGCATCTGTATGCGGCCGCACGATTCTCACAATAAACAGCATTAACCGGTTGGGCTTTGTTATTGGAGACAAGGCGCCTTCTGACATATGACGCCGTGTAGTCTGGAAGGTCGTTACCGACATTTCGAAGAAGCTGCTATGCGATCTTCATGGCTTACGGAGGATGGAGACAGTAGGTCCCTCCGAAATATAGTAACGAACTTACAGACTACACGGTATCACCTTCAAACTCTGTCATCATCATCATCACCACCGCCAATCTGCCACCTCTACCAAATCTCACCCCTCCTCCCAAGTGGCTCCTGCCACTGTCCTCCACGGCACATCTCCACTGCAGCAATGCAGAGCGGACTGACGGCGATTCGAAGCGGCGTTGGGCTGTGTAACCGGCGCCCGCGAGAGAGAGGCAGCCCATTGTTTCCAGCTACTGAGCATAGTGAACTGTGTTGCCATGGAACAAAACTCTGCTTACCTCCGCCCGTCATTTGCAGCTCTACCGACAGGGCCGAACCTCTGGCTGGATGCCCTCAGCTGAAGCGACGAGACGCGACGCGACGGACGACACGATGTGAGTGAGAGACAAAGTTTCACATTCACACGCAGTTTCGCTTGTTAGTGTTGTTCCCTGTCTCAACTTCGTCGCGTTTTCAAATCTAGAACAGTACCATCTTCTGGGAAGTCCGTTGGGAGTCAAACCGACGTCTCGGAGGAAAACATCGCCTCCATCTTCACGTTCTAAGGATAAGCTGAGACAGAAGCACTCGGTTTAACTTCCAACGGACTGGCTACACGGAGTTATACCCCAGAAGACAGCACTCGTCATGACCGCCAGTGTGATAACCTCAAATCCCACCATATGCTATGTCTGTGCATCACGTCCTAGCTCTCTGAGATCCATTTTAATATTACCCCACGACTGACAACACTTCACATGAATGCGCGCGCATCGGCCGACACTGACCACGTCTTGCCATGCAGGTCTGTCTCAAGGTGATGAGGCGACGCCAGACAGAATGAAGGGCTTCTTTTCTGTTCCTGGGGCAAGCGCCGTCCCTTTGTCACGGTTCCTACTTACGCGTCCTGAAGACGATGGGGGGAGTGGAAGTATGGCTCCATACTTCCTCAACCTCGGTACCAGACGATAACTGGCCAGCTTCAACTTCAGGCCGCTTTACTCCCAAGAAAAGAGACGCTGGCGGCCACAGGAGAGCTGGTTCGCTGGGGCCACAGAGCTGTTGTAAACGTCGTGGAGAAGAGAACTCTTACTCTTACCCTTACCGAGAATCGAACCACGCTCCCACACCGACTGCGCTCCCCAGGGACCGCATGAGCCTGATGTGTCCCTCACCAGGGCCGTGAGCACGCGCGCGTGCGTCAGGTGTCTGCGGCTTCCATTATAAGGATATTCCAGGGAGGCGTGAGGGAGAGGGGGCTTATTACTTGACTGTCACGCCGGATGGCGCCATTTCTGCACAGCCAAGAATACTGAAACATGCCCCTTTTTTTATTTTTGCATGTGGCCGTTCCATCTAGCGACGACTAATGCGTCTACAATGTACCCTGAATAAATTTAAATGTATCCATATTCATGGAGGATGCGACACTAACAATCCAGTTAAGAGCTCTTGACAAGTGGCCAGCGCGCGGAATCAAATTACAGAAGCAAAGTTACAGCACGGCACCGGCGTTTGCTTACACGTTTCCATGGCAACACAGGAGCCTTCTCGTTGACGGTATTAAGCATGGAGGCCTACTGGAAAAAGCACCAATGCTTGGCATTATGAAGCAGAAACATCTGCGACTGCGACTGCGCTACTTGGCCTGTACTTCTCATTGTGGAGAACTGGGTTCAGTTCTAGGCAGTCCACGTCTGATTCCTGACCCATAGTGTGGAACTACCCTAAGGCATGTTCTTCTCTGTGTACTCCCGCTTCTTCTGACAATGCCCCTGGGGAGGGAGAGGTCCTCCTCCCCCAGGCCATAATAGCCCGCAGGATCTCCCGACCTCGGGAGGCTTCCAGGTCACATTTCTAACTGAAGCACTGCTAGGTTAGTCAAGAAACCCGAAGGTTCATTACCCCGCCACAAGAGCCCGCCACTGGCCCCCAACCTGAACCACATGAATCTAATCAAAATGAGCCCACGTCCGGCGCCCTGGGTAATATTTCGTGACAGGTCACTCACTACACTCAACAGCCGGTGGGTAAGTTGCTTACTAAGAGGTCCTGGATACGAACTTGAACCTTCTTATGCATTGCTTCCGGGTTCGTAGCCAGCGGCCGGCGTGTGGTCGTGCCGTGGGAACCGGACGATGCCCATTTCCAACACCACGGTTCAGACATCGGTCATTGCCTTTCCGGTACCCGGCCGTCACGTTCTGCCTGCCAGTCAGGCCGTGGAAGCAAAACCGCGTCTCCCTCTATTATTGCCGTCTTAGTCTAAGCTGACTGTTGCTCAGCTGGTCACTGTGCCCTATACTGAGCCAGCTGAATCCAGTCCACATCCTGATGCCCTGTTTCTTTACGACCAGTTCTTCTAACTGGTCTCGCCCATTCACTTCGTCATGAAGTCGTATGGGGGGACTGGAAGTATAGCACCACGCATTCCTAATGTCGCCACGACATGCGTATGAGTGGTCAGCTTCAAGCCCCTGCCTGTTTTGCCCCCGGTACCCATCGTGCAGAAGGCTACGTGGGCAGCAGAGACAGTGCGGAGCCATCTTTCTCTCTTTTCCTGTTGCTCCCAATTCGGAGCATAGGACACCCGCGAAACGCTTTGTTTCACTTCAGCTTCTTAATCCTATAGACAGCCGGTAAGACTCTTTGGACGGGGGATCAGCCCACTGCAAGCCCGCTACCTACACGTCACAGCACAAACACAGAATAAACACAGACATCCATGCCTTAAGTAGGATTCGAACCCACGATCGCAGCGTTCAAGCGAGCGATGAGAGTTCATGCCTTAGACAGCGCGGCCACTGTGATCGGCTCTTGCGGACGCCATGGAGAAGAAAAAATCCGGGAATCGAGCCCCGGTTACTCGGTCACCCGGGTTGTGAGGGCATGCGCATGGTCAGTGCCACACTTTCATCTCACGAGCCAGATGGGAAAGGTGTGAGACGCGACAAAAACGCCCGTGAAGAACGCCCTCTCTCTCGTGCGGTGACCATACGGAGAGAGAGGACGGCGGGTTGCGCTGGCCCGCCGTCCTCTTCCCATCACTCATCTGCGTAACATCTGTGTATGATATACCGTCAGCGAATAACCTACGATTAAATCGTTGGGCACGGCCGGAAACTTTATTCCTTATTTGCGGGGACGGGAAACTTGGTCTGCATCATTTGCAACGAAGTCGAACGAAGAGATATTTTGTTGGTAGTGAAGAACATTCATTTTGCATAAGATGTCCGAATTTCCTGTTCAGCTGAGCTGGTCTGTACGCTGGTTAGTGGCGATGTTACTTAATTAAGCTGCTCCGTGAGTTAGTTAGCGGGCCCAGACATAACAGTTACATATCGCTGTGACGTGTCGGCCGGCCCCTGACCCGTCACTTTCTCCTCCGGATGGAGAAAGCTGTGCCGTCCATCAGCTGGATGAGGGAACGGAATCAAGTTCAAGACCCGTGACTTTGAATTCATGATATAAAAATTCGGAATGTGCAGAAGAAACCAAAAGCTCGCAGAAGCACAAGAAATGCGGGAAGACTGCAACCTGTCAGCAACAAGGGCGACTTTCCCCGCTTCCTTGGCGACCACAACAACAAACAGCGTGGACGACTTTCAATCGGCGCACAGGCAAGGCAAGGTTACCCTGTGCTCACACCATTCATAATTCCCGCTAACCATTTCTTCAGAGCACACCGTACTGCCTGGGTCAACGCACAGTAAAGCTAGCGGTTCGTGCTTCTGGTATGGAAGCAGTGTGTTCTCTGTGAGGTCATAACTACATTTATAAATACGCATCATTGAAATGAATTTCAGGTTTCGACGGGCCAAACAAAATGTTTGGGGGAACGAACGCCACTAACATAACCCCCTTTTGTATTCAGTCTTGCAATAGTTCAGCTGAGAACGCGTCACGCAGTCGAGATATGAACCCTGAATCTCCCGACCGCTGAGCCCCGCCTCTCAGCATGAAGTCTATAGTCACGCGGAAATTACAGACAGCGCCCAGGCCACTGTGCGTAGAAAGTCTCGTTCCACAAAATTGGCTCCGGTAGTTAAGGTGACGACGTGACAAGAGCCGTGCCCCACTCCACGGCCCAGTCCCATATATCGGCGGCGACGCCAACAAGAAGCTGAACACAACACGTCCAGTCTGGTCGCAGGTTACGTGCAGCGCGAGATCGGCTGAAATGTTGATGTATTCAGAGACCTACTGTCTGCTGCTTCATGCTGGTTTCTTCGTCACGTCTGTTCTTCCGAAATGTCGGTTGATCTTCAACGGACTACACGGCGTTATATCTCTGAAGACAGAACTCTTCGTTAACATCGCCTTACCGTTCGAAGTTAAACAGTGTGTGGGGGGGGGGACCTTCAGTCCTGTGGGAAACTCAGATATCGAAACTGATACTGTGTCCAGACGATCTATTCTTCCAGGGTACAGGAATACCAACATTACACCAACTTCTTTTGTTTCCTTCCTCAGAGCCTCAGAATCTGCTGTTAGCGTAACGTCCCGGCCGCTTTACCCCGCGGGAACAGAACCCGAGGCCTCCGGAGCCGGTCTGGCTGCTGGGCGAAGAGGTATCTCCAAACACGCCGCGAATCGAACCCCGATTCTCGGTCGTTCAGCTCACTGCCTAGTCACCACAAGCAAGCGAGGCGATGCGCGCTTCGGGCGGACACAGCGAGTCAGTTCGTCGATCTCTTAGACTATCGGCCCTAAGCGCTCCCCTTAGCGCAAGCGCAATCCAATGATATTGTCACGTGCATTCGTGACCATCGACGGGGTTTGGATCTGTAAATGGATTTATTAACCACATATACACACGACTCGGAATTACAAACAATAACAATAATGGCTTCTAACAGTGGAGATTCCTCAGCTTC